ATATAAATACTATGTTCTCAGGATTAGATTTAATACTTAATAGCTACAACGAATATCAAGTTGGTAGTTATTATGGAAGAAGCAAATACACAAGATGATGAACTCTTTAGCCCCCAATCTTCAGAAATTTCGGATTCTTATATTTTGACAAAACGGAAAAGCAAGACAGAGAAAAGCAAGGGAGGTAGACCAAAAATGCCGATTTGGGATGATTATAGTGAAGGTGAAGAAGATGGTCATGGACATTATGGAGCCAATTGTCATTATTGTGATAAAGGAAGGTGGCAGCGTGGCAAGCCTTCAGTTATGGAAGCTCATTTGGCACTTCACTGCAAGGGACCTGTACCAGAGGATATTAGAAAGAAATGGTTAATTGAAGTTGCTAAAAGAGGTGAAAAAGCGAATAATGATAAAGATGATGATGTTCCAATTGGAAAAAAAGTCAAAACTGTCAATCAATCAATTACTTCACACTATAGACCTGTTAATATGTTATCTTCTCAACAATCTGCAGATATTACAAAAGCATTGCTTAAAGCTTTTGTATGCTGCGGAATTCCTTTTGCAATTATTAACAATCCTTATTTTCGGGATTTTTTAAATCTTCTGCAACCTGGTTATGTACCGCCACATAACGATACTCTTTCGGGACCAGTACTTGATGGAGAAATCGCACGAATTGTTATAAAAATGGAATCTGAATTACGAAAGACTGATAATTTAACTTTAAGTATATATAGTTTAATTAATTTTTAATTTTTATAATTATATTTATAATTGATTCTAATTAATTTGTTTTATAGCAATTGACGGTTGGACTTCTCCAAAAGGGGATTCACTTTACAATTATATCGTTACAACTCCAAGGCATCACGAATATATTTATGCTATAACCGATTATTCAGGAGAACGCCAAACAGGAGATTTTATTGCAACTAAAATTTCAGATATTATTGAAGAAATTGGTTCTCATCGGTTTGCGGCAATCGTAACTGATAATGGCTCTAATATATGTGCTGCACGACAAATTATTCATCAAACTTATTCTCACATATTAAGCATCCATTGCATCGCTCATGCACTAAATTTAATTGCAGCCGATCTTGTGAAGACTGAATCAATAAAGAGAATTTTAAAACAA